TCCAGAATTTATGAAAAGGCAAAACTAAGGCAAAAGAGATATATGGTGGAAATTTCCTGGAATGGTGGGGTCAAGGGAATGTATTTTTATGAGAGAAGAAATTATGGCAGATATGAAGCTGGAGGGTAAGACATTATTGGAGAAGGAGGTGTTGAAACGGGACACAAGGTAGGGAAGGATATAGGAGAGACGGCAAGGAAGAAGGGTGGCAGAAATTGGGTAGAGGGGGAGAACGGGGAGGTTGAGCTTCAGAAATGACCATGGAAAGCTCAGCTGGAGAAGTCAGGGTGAAGGTGGATAGAGGAGGGACAATGGTGCATGGAGGAGAAGAAAGGGCAGGCGATAGAGCTTTTGGGGGAGCGGTAAATGCATGGGACAACCAAATGAGCGCAATCTTAAGAGTACAAATAGTGGGAGAATGCCAGAGCAGAAGGAGCATTGGGATGAGAGGAAAGGGTAGAAGCAGAGGGATGGAGCAAGTTTTTGATAGTGGAGAAGAGTAGACGAGGTTGTGGGGCAAAGGAAGAGATGATGGATAAGAAGAAAGACTCATTATCTGCAATTTTGAAAGAAGAGAAAGGTAAAGCGCATGAATCTGGGCTGAGTGGGAGGCTTTGTAGACCGAATGCCGGTTAAGTACAAGGGAGGGAGAAAGCCATGGTTGAGGGGGCCCGAGGGGAAGAGGAAAATTAATGCAGAGGCGCGATAGTGTCGAGAGTGTAAGAGAGAATCAAGCAAGCGTAGAAACGGCATCATCAGGTCGGAGAGGGGGAATTCTGCATTCACCGAGCAGAATGAGGGGGTGGGGGAAGAGGGATAATGGAGGCAAGAAGGACGTCGAGAGAGTTGAAAAAGGAATGCAGGGGGACCGGGCGAGCGATAAATTGCAATGAAAGAATGGGACGAGGGAAGGACAAAGAAGAGAGTTGAGCCGACCACTGCAGAGCAGGAGCGTGTCTCAAGGGCCGTGTGTCACGGCGATGGAGCTGCCAGAGCAGGGCGACTGAGCTGCCTGTTGAGCCAGACGGCCCCGACGGTAGGTCGACCACCGCAAAGAGCGAGGTGGGCCGGTCAAGGGACGCAGTAGCCACGGAAGCCAGCTCCTTGGCAGCACGACAACCCGGTAGCCGGCCGGGAATCAGGTGGGGTCTGCGTTGGAGAAGCTCGATGTTGAGGCCGTAGCGTTAATTATGCCGAGTCCCATCGGTTTCGCTGCTTAACAGTTGAAATAGAAAGTCAGTGCAGTCGAGTATGGAATGCATGACTAAACAAATTGTGGTTTATAAGCAGAGTTTTTTTTTAATCTCACAAAACCCATCCTGAATATTTCACCAAAACATACAATTATGATCAATATTTAAATACCCCACTGTGGTCGATGTGGGTTTGTGAACTAGGACTAGTTCAGATATCGCTCCGCACAAATGTCAGCCCTGGTCGGGAATCAAACTTAGGTGCCCAGTTTCAAAAGGTAGAGTGAGAACCACTTCCACCACTGCTCCACCCAGTACAATCTGTCATACTTTCTTCTACCTATAATAATGCGAGTACGTGCACGACAGAGATGGAGCGATGAATAAGCTCACGTTTGGGCGTCAAGATGGATTTTGAATCGTACAATCGTTAGAAATGAATTGGGGAGACCTTCATCCAGCAGTGAATTGATTATGGCTGGTGATGACTATTTAAAGTAAAATCAATTCCATTTCTGTGTGGTGACCCAGAGATGGTAAAGTACAGTTGCCAATGCCAGTAGTTATACAGTACAGCAATGAAAACTTTTGAATAAATCTGGAGGAACTTTTCAGTGACATCCCTTCGTAAGCGTGGTGGGTTTCCCCCCCCCTACTACCCACAAAATGTAAAACTCTCAATAATGGGGAATGGCCAAACGTCCCAATGTAGCAGGACCCTCCTGAAAAAAGTCTTGAGACTCATTGAGGATTTCTTAGAAAAGGCATTTATATCACTGCTGTTAAATTGAAAGTGGAGTGGTGGTTCAGTGTTTTTTTTCTGACTGCACTATGAACCCGGCAACTTGAGTTAAATTGCCGTGCACGGCTAAACTTGAGAAGCGAGTGATATCAGAAACGTTATTGGGCTCCAGCCCACTTCACGAATCCAAACTTAGTCACCAGCGTAGTGAAGTATGGTCCAACAACACCCCACAACCGACACGGGATAGGGAGGTATTCCTCCAGCAGTGAGTTGACAATGGGCCGTAAAATATATTTTAAAGTTAAATCGAAGTGTTCAACAATTAAGTATGTAGACTGCAAAGACGCGAGTATAAAACCGCTCGTAAATATTTCCTTATAAACCGTTATAGCGCCTTCAAATCATCAGTTTGGCTCCAACATGTGAACATCCTGTTAAACACCCTCTTTGTTTCCGCGATATCCAAGTATGGGATTGAGCCCGGGGAGCAATGTGTGCGTGTGGCGTGTGTGTGCCTTTGGCATTTGGGCGCATTCCACGCGGTCTAGGGGGGGATGGGTTGGGGGGATAGTAGGAGCGATGGGCGGAAAGGGCGGGGTCGTGCAATGCAAGAGGTGACGAGGGCATCTCTACAACTGAATCGCCGATGTTGTACATATACAGTAGCCATTTGCCAATCCACTGCTGTATGGTACGCACACTAAGTGCTCATTTGGTCAAGGAGAAATTGAGAATGTTGGCTTTTATAACTTATTTGTACGTGTACATCAAATGCATGGCTTTTAGCACCCATGTACAGTAGATGCACGTCCACGTTTGTCAATGCACTGCTGGATGAAAGTCTCCGCCACATCGTGCGGTTCGTGGAGGACAATTGACCATTACTTCACCACGCTGGTCAGTGTGGGTGGTTTGAAAGGACCGCTTTAGATATCACTCGCCGCTGATGTTCGCGTGGCCAGGAATTAAATGTTGGTCACCATGCTCATGTTGCAGTGCACTAACCGTTTGACGATCTGTCCCACCCACCCCATATACTGCTGTAGCTGAGACGGAATTTGGAAAGTACAATCGGGAGTGGCAGCAGGCAGGCATCATGATTTGTGACGTGTCCACAATTTCCCCGGCACTTTCTGCATCGAAACAACCACCACCAACAAGACAAAGATCCCCCGTGTAGCCTACATAGACTGTTGGGGTAAGTGCTGTTAGCGAGCACCTATGAAGACCGGTACGAGACACGAGCGGTGGTCAGCACTAACACTCCCAGCCAGTTTTGTCGTCCGAGTGCTGACGTTGACACACCGAACCGGGCACGATTTTAAGGCTGAGTCGACCTAGAGGAGAATCTGGACCGGTTCTGATGTCACTCGTAAAGTGTCACTAATGTTAGCCGTGGCCGGAGGGTACTTGGGGCGATTCATGGATGTGTGAAATTGTGTGATACATGAGTGTCATTCTTGATTTGAAGCTTTCGTGACTGCAGGAATCCACTCTTTGCTTATTTCGGTAAAATCACGTAGGTAGAAAGATAGAACATTATTTTGTATGTTTTATTCTTCTACCTACCGAAAGAACCACAGAGTATGAGTGTCATTGGTGAATGATCATGGATGAATGTGTCAATATAAAATAACTAGGATAAAATGTTAATCTATATTTTAATCTTGACCCATCTAAAATACCTTTCTAAACTCATTGATCGTAAGCAATGTGGTTTCCAAGAGTGACCAGCGAGCGTGAACAATTTTAATATTCGCTTGCAGTTACTCGCGAGTTAGGATACCTCACAAAACTGGTTAAAATATCGATAATGTTCATTATTCATACATTTATTTCTCAGCAACTGTGTTGGGTCAGGCAAGGTGGGTGGGGGGGTAGATCCTCGGTTGAAACGAAATTCAACAAGGAGGGTAACAGTAGCAGCGACAAAAGGTTGAGAATAGCTCCTCGGTTGAAACGAAATTCAACAAGGGGGGTAACAGTAGCAGCGACAAAAGGTTGAGAATAGCCACTGGCCGAGTGAAGCGTGGAGCCTGCAGCTGGTGACGAAGCTGACATCCCCAAATCCACTTCCTATTTTACGCTGACCACCCCCTAGCCTCGGGGTGCAGACCACGTTACTTGGTTGATGCTGCTGCTCTTACGTTGGCAGCGGTGCGTGGAGTACCGTGCGGATAACAAGAGCAGCACGTCAACGCGTTCGTCAGTAGTACCGTGGCGACGTTTCGGGCGATGACCCTTCTTCAAAGGAGCGAAGTGTGTTCGGCGATTCGCGCACTGGCACCACCAATCCACCAAACAGTTTGCAACGCCTCATTGCATTATTTAGTCTGACGTTAGCGCCTAGTAGATTTCTACTTTTATTAGACGCCTGTGCTTAGCATTCTGTCTCAAAGTGCACTGTGTCACACTTGATACTAAGCCAAAACTGTCAACCCCTGATCAGTGTCCTATCTTATTACAGACCAATCCAGACTTTATTGGTCACCCCGTGCCCTTATACATCTCAACGTTCATCCTTGACAAGTGAGAAACACAAACAAATAGACAAAAACATTTTGCCCGCATTGAAACGGTTGTACGCCGTATGCACCTGAAAACGAAAATTCCCTGCCCAAGAATACGGGTAAATAGTATGGCTTGACAGGTAAGGGGCCGTCCATAAATGACGTCATGCACCTGGGAGGGGAGGGGGTCAGACATTTGTGACGATGTGTGACGGGGGGGGTGTTAGAAATGTGACGTCACATCAAAATGCGCAACTTTAAATATAGACAACACGTTCTAGTTAATTAAATAGACTTTTAATACATGTTTTATCCTACAACAGCAGAGTGCAGCGCCACATTAAATATGCACTACAATGACAATAGTTTAAAGCGATTTGAAGCATGTTTTATTTTCAAAATGGAAATATGGTTTTGGGGGGAGGGGGGGCAGAGCTTTGTGACGTCATATTTGATGGGGGGGGTCTGACTTTTTGTGACGCCGTGTGACGAGGGGCCAAAAACCGTCCAAAATCGCGTGACGTCATTTATGGACGGCCCCTAAGCTAAGCCGCCTTCCAAGTGACAATTCTTGACGGCTGTAGGTTCACACAGTGACCTCTAGTGACCTTGCGAGGTTAGTTTGGCGACTTTCCGGTGTGTGCCGAATCTCGCACAGACCACGCCAATAGCGGCGTCACTCGCTTCCTACCCGGCCACTTCCTACAGCGCGTCACCCCCCCACCACCGCCGCCACTCATCCACTCCATCAACTCCACCGACCACTACACAGTTAGACTTACAGTCCAGCACAACCACCACAACCAACTCCAACCACTACACACAGACTTGCAGTCCAGCACAACCACCACAACCAACTCCAACCACTACACACAGACTTGTAGTCCAGCACAACCACCACAACCAACTCCAACCACTACACACAGACTTGCAGTCCAGCACAACCACCACAACCAACTCCAACCACTACACACAGACTTGCAGTCCAGCACAACCACCACAACCAACTCCAACCACTACACACAGACTTGCAGTCCAGCACAACCAACTCCAACCACTGCACACAGACTTACAGTCCAGCAGCAGCACCACCGCCAACTCCAACCACTAAACACAGACTTACAGTCCAGCACAACCACCATCAACTCCAACCACTACACACAGACTTACAGTCCAGCACAACCACCGCCACCACCAAATTCCACAACCACCGGCATTCCTGCACAACGCTGCCCTGCGCAGCTACGCCGCGCAGCGGATACACAGCGCCCGGCACCAACATTACACGGCCATCACAACAACACTAGCAGTCGCCCCACCTCCTACAACTTCAGCTCAGCTCTACACATCCCCCTTACAACTCTGTAAGCCCCCGGTCGCGAGCGAGCTGCACTGGGGAGGAACAGGCGACTGTGAGTAACTCCTATCACTCACAGTGTCCCGCGGTCCACGCTACCGTTACACGTGCGGAGAGAGCGGCTGCAGCCATTCTCTCTCTCCCCACCCCCCACACCTCTCATATCTCTCTCTCCTTCCTCGCTATCTCTCCCCTCCCTCCTCTCTCTCACTTCCATTCCGTCGTTTGACTGCCACTCCGCCGTTGGTCTCGACCTCCGGCCACCCCGTTGATCCTTGCTGGCTGGTGGTGTGCAGGAGGAGCCGTGTTGGGGAGGAGGAGGAGGGGGATTTGCGTGTCGCTTGACAGACCCTGCGAGAGATGGCCTTCGGCTCGGCGGGGGGGGGGGGAAGGCGTGCCATCTAGCAGTAGATAGATCATGGGCGACGGTGGTGATAGGGGGAGGGGATGGTGGTGGTGGTGGTGATGTTGATGAAGCGGTGGCACCAAGTGTCGCGGTTTTTTTGTTCATGGATGTTCTGTTTGCACGGTCACGTAGTCACTTTAAGATGTTTTTCTTGTTCGTGTTTTAGTTGTTTTTGTTTGTTGCGGTTGCACCCGATTTAAGAGCCGAATGGCTCACAGGGCCATACTAAAATAAATAAACTGAAAACTCAACCGAGCTATGAACCCGTCGAGTTTAGTAACACGATTCCCGGCCACGGCTAACGTCAGTGGCGAGTGATGTAGAAACCGGCCCTGCATGGGCAGGCAAGACAGGGCAGGCACACCCCGACTTAACCGTATGGCCAAACAACACCCATACACGGGTGTGGGGGAGGCCTTCATCCAGCGGTGGATTGTATGTATGTAGAACTTATTTCGTGCCGTTCGTAGCCAACCGTGCTAATCGGAGGTGCGGGATTGACAGAGGCTTGTGAAGTGTTATGAGTGATGGAGATCACTTTGGTTAACTCTGCCGTAATGAGGCGCTAGTGGACTTGCATGGGACGTGGAATCGTGATGCCCCCCTCTCTCTCTCTGCGGTTTTATTACATAAAGATGCTGGCAAACTCGATGCATCACGATTCGAATCGTGACTTTTAAGATTGTAGCGCCCCAAGCGGCTGTACTGGTAACGTGCAGTGAACGTGTGACAACACTTTTGTCGATCCACTGCTGAATGGGGTAGAGGAGGCGGGGGGGGGTTATGTGGCCATACTTCACCACGCTGGGTAGTGTGTGTAGGTGAAAGGGGGGGGGCACACGCGGGAGCATAGACTCATTGTACAATAATTTATTTTGCTGCCACGGTGGCGAGATGTTAGCGACATCGCCCGATACGCAGGAGGTCGTGTGCTTCGGCCACGCTGCGCACTGCGTTGTGCCACGATCCGAGTAGCTAACCCCGCATTCGGTAAAAACCTTCAGAGCCAGGTTTGAACATCTGACTCCAACGTATTTAATGAATGAAAAGAGGTAAAACCGATGGGAAAAAAACACAACACAAAATACAGCATCCGTTAGTACTTGTGTAGTGGTGTTATATTACACTCGGACAACTTATTTTCTCCGCTCGATCGCTCTCGCTCTGCTAGCCTGCTATGTTGCCCTCTGCTAGCTTCTCCACTGCTAGCCTCTCACAATACTCTCCACTGCTAGTCTCTCACTATACACTCCGCTAGCTTCTCCACTGCTAGCCTCTCACTAAATACTCTGCTAGCTTCTCCACTGCTAGCCTCTCACTATACACTCCGCTAGCTTCTCCACTTCTAGGCTCTCACTATACACTCTGCTCGCTTCTCCACTGCTAGCCTTATCACACCCACACTTAGGACTCCGCTAGCCTCTCTACTGCTAGCCTGTCTACCCTCACTCCTCCAACCTCGCCCTTGCCTACCAGCGGGGGATCAGCCAACACCGCTGGAGAGGACGAGGTGTGGCGAGCGGGGTCCTGGACTCCTCTTGAATTAACTCTTGTCTTCACTCCCACCCACTCAACTCCTCTGCCTCACACGTTCCCCTTTTATCCCCCTCCTCATTAAGTGCCCCCAGATGGCCCTCATTAAGCCGGCGTCCTCCCCACGCTTCGCGCACGTGTTCTCCCCCACGTGTTCTCACGCACGTGTTCTCCCCCACGTGTTCTCCCCCTTATCGCCACTATATCTCGCCACCGTGGCGCCTTCTCCGCATTTGCAGCCAGCCAATCAATGCTTCTTTCCCTAATTGCTGGCGTCTCTCTGTCTGCTGTCACCCAGGCCACCCGCCTGCACCTGCTTATCCTTAGCTGGCCTCACAGTCTGAAACCCCATACACAATGCAACTTCTGTTTGCAAACCCTGCGAGCATTACTCCACTACATCTGCAATATCAATACAATAAATGAACACTGCAGCATCATAACATTGCCTTAGATAACATAAATCTCAACAATAGGTCCTGGATGGACCAGGCACCAACATTAACGCTGAATAGCTATACAACAAGAGAATAAGCTACTGTGTTAAATAAGGTTACTTTATGTGATCACCATACTGCAGCCTAAATGTACAGTGCTGCATATAACACTGAACTGTGGATGAGATACGTCTTCATTCTTGCTCTCAAGAACGCATTAAAGTTGCATGGGCACAAGTCTGACTCGACTTATCCAATTACAAGTAACATTCACAATTTTGCAAGTGGCAGGCTTCATTGTTAACTAGGTCCCATATTCATCGTAACAATTTAGCAGCATTATGAAGGAATTTACAGCATTAACGGCAATCCCAACCTTACAACAGCATTCCCAGTATTATAAGAACATGAACGTACAGCCAATGCTTCTTAAAGTCTAGCAATGAACAGATTCACCTGTCTTCACTGAGACGCTAATTGTACCTCCATTTTGTACTCTGTGTAATGGCTGACACCCCCTCCTGGCTTCGTTACTTCGAGACCCTTAACCCGGAACTTCCTGGTCACGTGACCAAACTCAGCACCATCATATCAGAAAGTTCCTGTATAAACACAACCCTATATCTGCCGCGGGGTAGAACATCGTGGGTTCGATCCTGACCCTGATGCCTGCTGTATGTTTGGAGTTTGCATGTCTCTCTCACCATGGACGCGTGGAATTTTCTCCTGGTCCGCCGGTTTTTCCCTCCACATTTATAATCAACATGCATTCAGAGTTTATTGGCTGCTATACATTTCCACGTGATAAGCCACTTCGTTGAGCTATCATTTGTGGCCAGGTCGCTTCTCAAAAAGAGCTACATAGCTCAGTGGGCCTTAACTGGGAAAATAACAAAAAATGAAGTTTAGATCGTTTTAACCCCGTAACCGAATGTGTATCTTCTAAGATCTGAACTAGGCGGAGTTATTATTATTTTTTATGACTACTACTCTTGTTTACCCAGGGGAAGTCTCATCGAGTCGCGTGAATCTTTTTCAAGAGGGTCCTGCCAAGCAATTGAAAACCGACACAGAAATCGTCACCCCGACTGCGAACTGCAGGGGGCGATGATTGCTGCCTATATTTCAATTGCTTCTTGTGTTTAGTTTGTTGTCCTTCCCTCCGCACCTTCGATGAGCAAGGTTGGCTCCGTGCGGTGTGAAAGAAGTTCGACATGCATATGTCCATACAATCGAGTGATTTGCAGTGTCATTTTCAAATGTGGATCATGACGTCAAATTTGGACCATGACGTCAAATTTGGACCATGACACTGGCAATGCAATGGCTCAACTATCAAAATGATGTCACGGAGACCTCTCTCACTGTTCACTGTTGAAGCAGGTGGCGTGTAGTACTACTTATTGATGGTTTACTTACACCCGCGGTAATAACCAGGGCAGCCGCTGGGTTGAAACTGTGACCCTCTTCGTCGAGGGGTGAGCGCCACCTATCGCTCGGCCGTGTCATCGGCCACTTTTCAGACCTCATTGCAGCCGCAGAGAAGGAGCTATCTCCCATGAGCAGAGTTGGCTGAGGGCTTTGCATTTCTCAACACAAAGGCTGTTATGAACCATGGACATTTTTTTTTTATTTTACCAGGTAAAGTTCACTGAGCTATAAAGCTCTTTTTTCCGAAGTGACCTGGCCACAAATGATAGCTCAACGAAGTGGCTTATGATCACGTGGATCATTTCTTGCAACCAAATACTCGGAACACTTGTTGATTCTAAATGTGAAGGGAACAACTGGAGGACCTGGAAAAAAATCCACACGACCACGGGGAGAGAGACACGCAAACTCCAAATATACAAGCGTCAGGATTGGGATCAAACCTATGACCTCCTGTATACCATGCGAGGTAGTTAACATCTAGCCACCGTGTACTCATAAATGGTTTAACTGTGACTATCATTACTCATGGCTATGGAGCCAACAATTAAAACGTCTGACCAAATGAACAAAGGCGAAGCGCTCACCTCCTTTGACAGCCCCTGAGCCAATTGTGGAAGTTCTACGTTCCCATGGCAAGGAAGGTCATTTATATCAGGATCACCTTCATCAATTTCCCACAAAGTCGTACAGTACTTATTTTATCCAAACCTAAGGGATAACTGAAGAACTCTGGCCACAGCGCTGACTAGTCGGATTATAAAGCGTATGCCTTACATTTAATATCAAGTATATCACTGAAGTTACGATTTGGATGTCTCACACTTTAACCCAAACACCTCAGGGGCATGGATAACGGAGGAGGGCAACAGTGGGAGGATTTAAAGTCCCTGCTCCCGTCACCTCCCGCGACGCCTGATGCATTATCCTCACCGGGCCACGGTGGGGCGACCCAACACACCATCAACATCTACCCCAACCCAACCTCGCGTCTCCTGGAGAGCGGCGAAGCCGAGCTGCACCTCAGGCAGGTGGAGCATCAGCAGCAGCAGAAGCAGCGGCAGCATCAGGAATCAGCCGCCACCATTGCTACGCCGCAATGGATGGATTTGGCCGACAGTTCCAGCATAGAGCCCATGGCGATGGCCTCTCGGGCTGGATCTGCTGCTGGAGCTGCTGCTGCTGGTAGTTCTGGTGGTGGCGGTTGCAGTGTCCTCCCGTGCAACGCAGCGGAGCGCACCGCCGGGCCCTCTCTGCTGCTGCACAAGCGGCTGCAAGAGGAGGCGCAGAGCCTGGCGCGGGACCGGGCGGGCACGCCGGACTTCCAGGCGTGCCGCGGGGGCGGCCCGCATGGCCACAGCGTGCTGTGCGCCACGCACAGCCACGGACGCTGCTTCCGCCTGCACTGGTGCTGCCTGCTGGGGTGGTGCCACTGTGAGTGTTGCTTCTGCTCCATTGTCTAGCCCCAGTGGTTCTCGACCGGGGGTATACTCGGAACCCCTGGGGGTACGTGAGATGATTTATAAATGTGTAGAATGATATCATATGTGAGAGTCGTTGGTGAATAACCATGTATGAGTCTGCCAATATAAAATAACTACGATCAAATTTGAATCCACGTAGTAACCTATAGCGATTTATAATACCTTTCTAAACTCATTGATCGTAAACAATGCGATGTCCAAGAGTGACCAGCGAGCACAACAAAATGTACGTCACGCATGCAGAAGGCTCGTTGATTTTTCTTTTATTCGCTTGCGGTTACTAGCTAGTTGTAATACTTTACAAACTGGACACATTGGTTAAAACATCTGTGTTCATTATTCATTCATTGGTTTCTCAGAACCATGTTGGGTCAGGCAAGCGGGGGGGGGGGGGTAATGTGCTCGGTTGAAACAAAATTCATCAAGGGGGTACCACGAGCCAATAAAGTTTGAGAACCACTGATCTAGCCTAGTCCTCACCCCCAGCAGTTGGCAAACACTGCGGCTACCATGTTAGCCGGCCGATGTTGCACTTGGTGAGGTTGTGGAGAACCCTGGAACAACGTTTCATCTGGTTCCCTCCGGCGCGTGTCCCGATCTCGAGTTGGAAGTAAAGACTTCCCTCACATTCCACCGACTTGCACTTCTCACCTCTCCTCCCCCCCACCCCCACTACCCCCCCCCACTACCCCCCCCACCCCCCCCCCCCCCCGTTGTCGCAGGTAAATACGTGTACCGAGCGTTCACCCCACTAGAACGGCTGCCCAGCACAGCGGTGCCTGTCCGGCCGGGAGATGCGACTCAGGGACGCCTCCTGCCCCTCGTCCGGTGGAGTACCGCCGCTGCCCCTGCCGCTGCCCTTGCTGCTGTACCTCCTGCTGCCCCTCCTGATGCTGTTGCGGCCGGCGAGGTGCCGGAGCCCAGTTCAACCCCAACCCGGTGTCTTGGAGCTCGCGGAGACCTCGGGTACCCGTGGAGTGCGGCGAGACGCCCCAAGCCCGGCGAGCTGATCCACAGCGTGGAGTCGGTCGTGTGAGCCTCTCCAAAGAGACGGACTTTTGGGGCAAGTGCTGCGAGCAACTATGAAGGGCGGCACGGCCGCCTCTGCCTCCTGAGTGGCGATATTTTTATGCACCGCACCAGATACTCATTTGAGGCCGAGTCGACCTTGAGGACACTCAGGACCGATTAAGATAATCGTCACTGTTGTTTGCCATGAGCGGGAATTGAACTCGAGTCACCGGGTTCGTAGCACATCGTGATAAACGCTGCACTCCTACTCTATACGAATACACACTCGCACGCCCTTGTTCTACAGTTTGGAACAGACTTCTTGGGAATAGATTCCCTTGGGTAGCCAGTATTACTTTATCCAGTACTACTGCTCATGTTGCCTCCCACGCAGGGTCGGATTAAGGTTATGAGGGGCATATGAAATCATCGTTATTTATTTATTTACCTTTGAACGCATTCCACTCAATGTAGATTCATCAAACAATCACTCACTACACTCTTTTCTTAATTCGTTTTCATCCCTAGCTTTAGCTTGTGGCAAAGTCATGAATTATGTCAACGTTCATTCAAAGACAAAAACATTTACGAAGGCCGCTCTACCGACGCTCATCTGTTACTGCAATGTGGAACGGAGAGCCTAAAGGAGGGCCTTCAAAATATTCGGGCCTATACCCTGGAACAACGTTTCATCTGGCCCCCTCCGGAGTGTGTCCTGATCTTGAGTTGGGAGTAGAAGACTTCCCTACCAAATATGAGAGGGCCTAAGGCCCTTATTAGCCTCTGGGTTAATCCGGGATGTTCGTGTCTGGGCCCTGTCCTCTTTCCTTGACTCCGACTCACTCGATTGTTTTCACTCCCATTTCCTCGTACTGTCATTTACAGGTCAATGTATATTGATGTGTTGATTTGTTCTCACCAGAGAGACCGTTTACTGAATGCAGTGTTCAATTTTGCGCTGCTGGTGTTGGACGTGTCTTACAAAGTGTACGCGATTGCCGCACAATGGTTCATGGTATTTATTGTGCCATTCAAACACACAACTTGATATATGTATGCATATATATAATGTAAAATGTTTCTATGGCATAGTGGGTTATAGCTGTTACATGTACTGGCGATGAAATGTTCAGAGACTTCAAATCTAAACAGTTGCGCGTGACTTTCCATCTGGGGTGTGACGATCCCTCTCCCGGCGATTTGATGAATTGTCATCATTCAGGATTGTGTGATTCGATTGCAGTCAATTCGTTAAAAAATTGTGGTGAATGTAGCGGCCAATAGTGGCTGCAGGGGTCACGCGAACCGAATACATTCAACGTACTAATTGAAAAGTGTTTGATTCTGAAACGTGCGTGTGTAGAAAATCAATAATAGGTTAATCGATGCATGGTCACACTACAGCTGGATCGTGTCATGCTAAAGCTATCCATATGTTTAACACACTCTAAACGTAAACGTGTGTCTATACACTCCGGGCTTATCTTACAAGTATTTTACCAAAACGCACTGCTGAACAACAACAAATATATTTAAGTAAATGCTTATGCATTTTGTGTATATACATTGCTGTGACTGAACTAGACCATCAATGTGTATATATTTTTTTTATAAAAGCAATTACAGTACTGTATATAAAATGAAAAACATTGAAGCGTTGTTTTTTTTTCTTCACGAAGTCTGTTTGCAGGGTCGGTCTGGCGAACTGCCTTTTTTTTACTTGACATCTGTGAAAAAGAGCCTCATAGCTCATCGGATTCCTGCAGTGGAAATAAGGATTCCGATTCTGAAACGATGAAAACGAAGCAGCGGGTCTCATCTTGTAGCCACTTAAAAGGTCGTCGCACTCATTACACACACAAAGTGCTTGCCACAAATGAAAGAACAATACCTTGCTGATCTCGTCAAGGACCATAAACCGTCACGCAAACTCCGGTCATCCTCGTAACAGCGGCTTTTGGCTTAACCATCGAACAAAGACGGTCACCGCATCGCGCGCGTTCAGATGCACTTCTGCGGCTGTCTGGAACGCTCCTCCGATATTATGAAGCCACTGGAGCTATGCACTTTGAAATCATCTAGATTGAAAACTCATTTTTTAAGAACAGATTTTTGTGTTTAGTTTGTTGTCCTTCCCCCGCACCTCCGGTTAGCACGTTTGGCTACGTACGGTGCGAAATAAGTTCGACATACAACACACACACACGCGCAGGCCGTGCGTCCCAGGCTGTCCCACAAGTCTGAAGCTTCATTTCGTGGGGATAGACTGCTTTGACTCCACGAGTGAGACCCTGTTGGTGCCACAGAGATGCGTGAATACTTCACTGTGAGACAGACAGCCAGGCCAAGAACTACGTAAACGCCCATCATTGATACCAGGGAAGTTTGTAAGGGCCTTAAATAAGTCACGTGCACATTTGGCGCATGGGTCCGTAGACAAATGTCACGTGCCGATTACATAGGGTCATCTGATATACGTTATATATATAAAAACAACATTCATCAATAACATAAACTTAACAAGAACAAGTATATAATATACAAGAGGCTAGAGGTAGAGTGACTACATCTCTGGCCGATATGCTGTGAAGGGCCATTTCCTGAAACGTCTATTATAATTTATTTTTAAAGTTACATTATTATTGAGGAACGGGTTGGGTCATTGTTGTTAATTGTGCTTGTGCACCACTGCCAACGCAGTAGTGTCACCAAATAATTTATTCAGATATAAGCTTATTTAGGTTACATCAGCCCACATGTTGATGGACATATTTCCGTCCAGATTATACCCAACACATTTCTAAAATAACCAAAGGCTGGCACTGTTCCACTTTTGTGCCGATGCTGAACAGCTTCTGACTGCTTCGTTATAACGAACGCTGCTGAACAGAGTTAACTGTGCCTTGTGGGATTTGTTGCTTCCCACCAGCGCAAGTTCACAGGGCCAAGACACGTGCAGCTGGACACGTTTCCTTCGGAAAAAAATCGGACGCGAGAGGGGATTTCTAGACAACAAAACGCACGATTGTGACCATAGGCTTCAGTCCTCCCGTCATGCCTTGCATCTCACGTGACCACACCAAAGATCCCCCTTATAGCCTGGAACAGACTGTTGGAGCAAGTGCTGTTAGCGAGCACCTATGAAGGCCGGCACGGCACACGAGGGGGTGGATGGCCAGCACCACGCCCCTTTGTCTCCCCAGTGGCGATGTTTACGCACCACACCAGTACTTTTTTGGGGGGATGAGTCGACCTAGGGGAGGCCCAGGACCGGTTTAGATATTCGTCACTGGTGTTGGCCAAGAGCAGGAATCGAACCCGGGTCCTTGCCGGGTTTGTAGTACAGCGCCCTAACCGTTACACGACCACCCCCCACCCCCCCAACACCCATGCCGTGTGCATCACACACGTGCAGTTATTGCTGCTTGTATTGACTCTTCAAGTGAACGTGGCTTTTGCTGGGCCGCTGCCTTGCACTCGAAACAGAACGTAATTTAGCCCGATCCAGGGTCCTGAATCCCTTTACAGAATGAGAATCTTTATTTCATCCTGGAGAAATCCGATGAGCTACGAAGCTCTTTTACACAGATGTCCACTTGGCATTTACAGCCCTGGGGGTGCAGGTCTGTCCACGTTGTCGCAGTTTAAATGCCACTGTGTGCTGTGGCTTTTCAAGCAGGGGTCACGCAGAGGTGGACTGGGGAGCTCAGGAGGCTGAGACCCCCGGATTCACACCTGGGTTACAGCACTGCTGATGGTCTAAGCGTGGTCACCAAAGACTGAGCGATAATGCCATCTTATTTCATGTAGGTTTTTCATTTTTCACACTCAGTCTGGCTTGTCTGCAGCTCTGGAGGAATGTCGTGTTGCAAGCACTTCTATAGCGGCGCATGTGGGTTTTTGCATCACCGATTGAGAATGAGGCAATCGAAGGGACCTCAAGTAGTTACGTGATGTCAACTTTTCCAGAGCACATTCTCTTAACACGGGGTACTTTCGACTCTCTGCTCGCATTGCATACGGAAATGTCTTCACAACACACTCGGAATCATTATCATCAGCTGTGAGCTATCAATTGCTGGATGAAGGCCTACCCGGTCGTTGCCATCCCTCACGGTCCAGCGATGTAATAATCCACCTAGCACCTGCACATGAGCCATTTTACAAGAGGGCTGTAATCCGGGACAAATATATGCGTATTTTTTAAATCAGTACGTGCGCTGAAAGTCCGGCCAAACATTCCGACCACGAGGTGCTCTGTCTTCTTTCGTACGGCCAATGTAGATGCAGAGCAGCAAGTACACTTTCACAACTGACGTGGTCAAGCCACGACAAACCGCGTCAGGAGTAGCGGAGGACATCATCGCTGTGATGTTCCCTTCGTATTTGCGGATCGGGGCATTGTATCGTCATGTGTTGTGCGGTCTGTTCTGGATGACCACAGTCACAGACTGGAGCGTTTTTATGCATCCGGTAATCGCATCTGCCATGGTTTGTGCGGGTGTGGTTTTGGGTGGACCATGAGCTTCGTGGATGATCAAACGCCAGCGATCTGCTGTGTTGGGTCTTTTACAAGATGTTTATTTGTGAGCTATTTGTAACTCCATTCAGCTCGCCAAGCTTCGTTGGGGTTGAACTCGCTTTGTTGAGAAGGTTAAGCGCACGGGTCCAAAAGGGGCTCGCGTGACTTCAAGCGATGCCGAGGGATAGTTATTGAGGTCCTGATGAATGGAATGGTGACTGTCAACAGTGCCAGGCCGCACACGGGGGGGGGGGGGAGGGTGAACCCAGGAATCACGTGGCCTCCCACGCTCACGCGGGCGCTGACCCCACCCCAGAAGGAGGAACCACACGGGCAGCACGGGGTCAACGACGCGAAAGGCTTCAGCTAACAGTTGTGGAACTTATCTGACCGGCTAAGGCCCACCGAGCTATACAGCTCTTTCATAATAAAGGTTCTTGGGTTAGATCGCGTTTATTTATAAATGTGTCGCAACCCTCCACCACCCGACACGGCCAATCAGCAAAAAAAGGTGTCACGTTGACAAAAAGACAAATAATTCACTACTTCAGCCCACCGGTGTGTTGAAGAGCTAATCCACATTGACAGTTTGAGTTGTACGACGTTTCGCTGGTAAATACTTCCAGCATCATCGGGCAATTCGCCAGAATGGTAAAGCCCTCGCTTGCTCCCGGTTTTATATAGAGCAGCAGGGTGACGTCATCACTTAACTCATATCAGGTGCAGTGATTAGAGGCGGAGGGGGGGGGGTGTAATGTAATTATATAATCGATTAGTAATCAGTCATTGGTTATGATTAGTAATGAGTTGTAGATTAGTAATTCTTTAAATCAAAATGTAATGTGTATTATTTAATAATACGCTTCCATTACACCCCCCCTCCGCCTCTAATCACTGCACCTGATGAGTTAAGTGATGACGTCACCCTGCTGCCCTATATAAAACCAAGAACCTTTATTATGAATAATATTGGTCGCGAAAGCCTACGTGTTAAACTATACAGCTCTTTGTTTTCAGAAACGACCTGGCTATCACAAATGATAGCTCAATGAAGCGGCGTATCACGTGGAAATTGATCGCAGTCAAAAACTCTAATGCATGTTTCTAAATGTGGAGGGAAAAACCGGAGGACATGGATACAAATCCACGCAATCACGTGGAGACGCAAACTCAAAATATACAGCAGGTGTCAGGGTCGGGATCGAACCCACACACTGCGAACACGGCTGTGGCCAAGGAGGGGGCGGGTCAGGATGGACCTGAGGATGTATTTAACTTCTCACGTTAAAAAAAGGACATAGGTGGCTGAGAAGGTAGAGGAATACGCTGGCACGCTCGAGATCCTGGGTGATTGCACCAACAAAAAACTGGAATATAGCCAAATCCTGCACTTGTTGTGGCAAAATTCCAGCTCAGATAAAAACAAAATTAGGGTTTGACTGTCACGCAATGAACATTAATCTCATGTAGGCAGTGCGGGTGGGAAAGGGCTGAACTGTATCATGATTGTTGATTATCCAGAAGTCGGCAAGAAACTGACGGGACAGTGCCAGGGTCATAGCGCGTCATTCGCTGCCGGAAGTTCAATTTGTGGGAAGTTAACAATGCAAGAGAATCTCAAGATGCTGTACAGAAACGGGTAGGCGTATTTATTTCATGGACGGAACGAGGCAGCCAAGTCACAGGTCGCGGGGAAAAAAGTGACTGAGTTTGGACTTGAAAAGGAGCAGGTAGTCGACAGTACGGATTGTAGGGGGGTGGGGGGGGGGAAAGGGGTTCTAGACTGTGGGGGGCAACAGAGCAGGATTTGCGACCTCACTGGTACCGGCTCAGTGCTCTGACCCCTGAGGCGCCCAGCCTAAACGACCACGCGAACTCCCGTCATGCTCACAGCGGCTTCTGGCTGGCCATCCAACAAAGACGGTCACTGCGTCGCGCGCTTTCAGATGCGCCTCTGCGGCCGTCTGGAACGCTCTTCCTTCCGATATTAGGAAGCCCTTTGAAATATTTTTTGAAAACTCATATCTTTAGAACTGTTTATTGCGTTTAGTTGTGTTGTCCTTCCTCCACACCTCCGATTAGCACGGTTGGCTCCGTACGTTGCGAAAGAAGTTCAACGTACGTACAGCCACCCCCACCTATTGCCAAGCTTTCACCTAGCTCGACGATCTCCAGATAAACATGCGACTGTGCTCAATCTACTCATCGAAGTAGGCGGAGACCCAATACGAGCCGAGTTGTCACAGGCGTCCCAGTGGCTTAATTGATAAGAGGAGTGAAGGGCCCTCTCGCCAGCCTGAGCTGCACCTAACCGCCGGTGTCTGTAAACCCTGTCGCCATGTCCTCTCGTTCAGACGCGGCCCCAGGTTAATGGTTAACGCTTTTACGATTCCTCCCGGCCAGAGCACGTTTTTTTATATATTGTAAAGAAAAAAAAAGCAGATAAACGCCTTGGGGCGCTCGTGCATTCCCCCCAGGCAGCCAACATCACCCGAGCCAATAATCGTTGGCCGATGTCACCTGCTCAGCACACGTCACTTTACGCAACACTAAGGGGGCGGGGGACGATTGCGTGGAGCCTTCGCGTTTTCACGGCCCGCGATACAATTCAACAATATGTTATTTTTCGTCGCGTACCGATGTCGGGTTTTCTCTGTTTGTGCTGCACGGCTCACCCCCATGGGTTTTGAGTTTCATGCCGCGCGTCGTGTCGGCACGATGTCCGATGTTTCGCCCCCAGGAGGCTGGCAGGATCCTCGGGAATTTAACCGAGTTTCTGAAGGACGGCCATGTATTTTCTCATTTTGTCGAAAACCCCGTTCGTACCGTTTTGGTCGTTTTCCATTTGTGCAGTTGTGTTTGCTCCCTTCGAGTGAACGTGACATCGGCGTCTGATTTGAATGTGTCTAAAAGCGTGCGGTTTTTCTTCGCCACGCGTCATTCGATGCTCGCGTCGTAAGTAGGCGTCGATGTTGATCGATGAATCGCCACACACTTACGCGGTACGTGCGCGTACGCTACAGAGATAAAGCCTCGGCACACAGCTGTTTCGCAAAGAAAACATCCTTATTCTTAGTGTGACATCCATGCGGGGGTATAAGCCAGATAAAGTTATACTTAAAACAGCAGCTTTTACCCTTCCTGTTCGAATCCAATAAATGCAAACCGTGAAAAGAGCGCTTGAGTGAGAATGTCCTATGCACGTCTTTTGTGCAAGCTTTCAAGCGATTCCACATCGGCTTCAATGATCACGGCTCAGTGCTTTAACCGCTTCCACCACATTTGTCGGCGACTCAAAACGGGGGACACATATGGTGAGAGCTGGCCCCGCCCACTTCCCAATCACCACGCCCACTCGGCCACTAGCACCGCTCACGGCGAGCGGCCACCTTAAAGTCTCTCGATCACGTTGGTCCCGCCCACCGCTTATAGGCCCAGCCTACTGAGGTCGCTCCACACCTTTTGCCCGTATCATGAGCCGAGCGTGAGTTCACGGAATTTTTAACTGGAGACAAGAACAAAAGTAAAATGTTTCAGTGGGAGCACAGCCTTAATAAAACTGTCCAGGCAAAGACCAAGACGTTGTTGGTAGCTTTAACGATACCGTCCATCGTGGACGACTAAGAAAGTCGCCGTGTATTGAGTTGTGGGGGAGGAAGCAGTTGAATGCCGGGAGTGAGCCGCGCTTGCCGGTCTCGCTGGTAAAGGTGCGAGTGTGTCTTAATCCACACCAAAGTTCACCTGCTGCCCGCGTGGGCCCAGTGATTGTTTGGCACTAGAACTATGTAGGGGCACTCTGTGGTTCTCTGTGAACGGAGATTTGAAAAGTGACATCACGGAGGAAAATGCTGCTGCTGCTGTTAATGAGAAAGAAGGAGAAGACGATGATGATACTACTGCTGCTGATAAAGTTGATGTCGATGGTGACTGATTTTGACGACGATAATAATGATGACAACACTGAGAAGAACCGTATTGTGCTGCTAATGTTGTGAATGATGCTGCTTACTGCAATACCGCTGATACCAATGATTCTGCCCCTGATGATGATGCCGATGCTGCTGCTCCTGCTGTTGAAGATGATGACGAGGTCTATTTTGCTGCTATCAATCCTGCTGCTGCTGCTGCTGATGATGACGATGACAACAATCTCACGCACACCCGTCTACCGCCCTCCCGTCAGTCGGTCGGTCAGACGAGATCGGTCGGTCGACGGCTCACAGGTGCGACTGCGCGCTGGGGTGGGTGCACACGTCGCCCGGCGAGGCCGGCGTGGGTGCCAGCACGAACGCCGGCGGCGCCGACAAAGGCTCCATCTCCGAGGCCTCAGCCGCCTCGCGCAGCACCGCCATGTGCGCCTCCGCCGTCGACAGCGAGCGGTCCACCCAGTCGAGGCCCTGGCCTGCGCCGCTCAGCAGACACGCACTGCGCGTCACCAGCACCAGGTGCGACACGGACAGCAGCAGCGCCGTCAGCCTGCTCCCACGGGGGTGCGAGGAGTGGCGGGGCGGGGGGGGGGGAGATAAGGACGGAGGAGGACAGGGGGAAGAATCAGGAGGGACAGGATGACACTCCTGATCATGGCTAATGCGACGATATGTCCGGGAGGCTCAAGCGGGATATGTGGTGAGCTAGTAGCCTCGCTTACTATTATTCATTGTCTAATGATAACAGCACACAGTGTTTACTCTTAAATTCAGCATTGAGACACAGAGCCTAGAGGCAGCGTGCAGGAGGGGATAGAGAGGATGTGGCTGAGAGGACAAGGTGACCAATTTTCTGAGAGGCTCAACCAGGACCCAGGAGCCCATCTCCCTCCATTCAAGCACACCCATTTTACATGGCCACGCCCACTCAAACACCATAAGCCCCGCCTTCTACACTTATAGCCCCGCCCACTGCTCCGGTAGCCCCGTCCTCTACCCACATCGTGCAGTGAGAATGAGGCCAAACAATTTGCAAATGGGACAAAATCTTGATTTTCGCTAAAGTATTTGGGACACCGGGACGGCCTCTGAAACCAGGACTGTACCGGCCAAACTGTGACGTTTGGTAGCCTCGACCATGACAAAAGACATACATCCCCCGTATAGCCTTAAAAAACTGGTGGATGTTGTGGTATGGTGTGTGTCTCATCTGTATGAACCATGTATGGGTGTGTATTCGTGTGATTGCGGGTATCATTTGTTAGTTTTTACCAAGCAAGGCCCACTGAGCTACACAGCTCTTTTTCAGAAGCGAACTGACCACAAATAATAGCTCAACGAAGTGGCTTATCGTCATGTGGAAATCTATAGCAGCCAATTACTCTAAAGCAGCCAATGGGTCTATCGATTGGGAAGTCTATAACAGTGGTCGTCTCGTCGGTCTCAATGTGGAATTTGCACCGACGGCTGGGTCGCCAGACGAGATGAGCTTTCCTCCCACTTCTCGTTTTAGCAACACCACCACCACCAAAGACAAAGAATACTCGTACAGCCTCAACAGACTGTAGGGGCCAAGTGCTGTTAGCGAGCACCTATGAAGGCCGGCACGGCACACGAGGGGGTGGGTGGCCAGCACCACGTCCGGTCGCCGTTGTCTCCCTGAGTGGCGATGTTTACACACCGCACCAGGTACTCATTTGGGGCTGAGTCGACCAAGGGGAGGGCCCCAGAACCGATTCAGATAATCGTCACTGGTTTTGGACGTGAGCAGGAGTCCAGGCTCGGGTCACCACCGGATTCGTAGCGCAGCGCCACCACTCCCGACTGTTACTCCTCCAGCTGTGGTCAACCACTCTCATGGGTCATGCCCCTATCTGGGAAGTCGTGGCTTTGATGCCACACGACACACCCCCCCCCTCCCCCTGTACACAGCAACGGTTCCGGTTACACAGGAAGGGTAACGGAGGGGCCTCGGTCGCTATCGTTACCGCATTTTAGTCTTGACTTTCCAAGTGAATAGACGGAAGAAAAAAAATATCCATCAATAGAGCAACAATATGGTGACCGTGACTCGAAAAACAAAGTTTAACACGTAAGCTTTTGCAACCAATATTATCCATAATAAACAAATAATACCCCACTATTATTGAAAAACAAACCTCATCAATAAATAAAAACGAGTATCAGATCATTAAAAAAACCCGTACATTTTTGTTCACAATCCGGCCACTCGTGAGCAACCGCATCCCGTACAGATTTATCCCGTTCTCCAGTTCATTTGTCGTCCTCTCAGAAGACAACGTTTGAAAATAGGATCTTATTTTGTAATTGGTTAATGTATTGTCTATTGCTCGTCAACCTAGCACCGTTGGCTCTCAACATTATGAGTAAAACACCAAAACTGTTTCGATAAATCGATAGCAGTAGGGACCACGCGTCAAATTTGCGTAAAGTTTCACGTGCACTTTGTAGACCATAATCCTTTTAAGAGAAGCGTCATAAAGAAGTAAACAGATAAGGACTCAATCTTTGCTGTTTACTTGCGGAATGGTGCATGCGGCCACGCAAGACCAGACACAGTTGCTGGAGTATTTTTTGTTTAAGCTTTGATTATGCAACTCAACTATTGATTCAACCGATACGAAGGTCAACTCGAGCAGGTAAACACAAACGTCTATTTGTTTGTGCCAATAAAACTCGCATGGGTACGGCAAAGCTGTAAACTACAGTGCGTATAAAAAAAATAGTTTCAACTTTTTTTTCCGTTCGAAGGAGGACTGTCAAAACAAACTGTTCATAGAGATATATGGGCCTACGTCAGGCCTGACTGATTATACCTTTCCGCTATTCGCTCAGCTCTAGATGCTGCAGTCTGGGCAGCAATGTTGTTAGAAGTCATGTGGTCTCCTTAAATATTATCCTGTGCAGGGCTCAGGGCCAGGCGGAGGATTATAATTGAGGCGAAAGACAAAGATCCCCCCGTATAGCCTTAACAGACTGTTGGTGGTGCAAGTGCTGTTAGCGAGCACCTATGAAGGCCGGCACGGCACATGAGCGGGTGGGTGGCCAGCACCACGCCCGGCCGACTTTGTCTCCCCAGTGGCGATGTTTACACGTCGCACCAGGCACTCATTTTAGGCTGAGTCGCCATAGGGGAGGTGCAGGACCAGTTCAGATCATCGCCACTGGTGTTGGTGGCCGTGACCGGGAATCCAACTGCGGTCGCCGGATTCGCAGCGCAGCCGCACTTGAACGTTGCACCACCGCTCCCCTAAGTGAGGCCTCCACTGGGCACCGCAGGCTGTGAAAGTCCGGCCTGGTGACTCGACGCTAAAGCGAGTGGCTCGCAATCGAAAGGCCGCGAGTTCAAATCATCCTGGTGGGGGTTGACTCATCCCATCATTGCTCTCCCGCCCAAGTTGAATTAAATGAGAACCATTTCGTGTGTCCTATTGAGAGACTCGCCACCACATCGGAGGCACCCACAGCACAGGGTTCAACCACCACACCACAGGTCACAGCACCTCTCTATCTCCGCTTCTTCCCGTGCAATTCTCCACTTTGGTATTCCCTCCCATCGTGTCTTTCTCCCAGGTCCGTACAACCCTGCTCACTTTAAGGCACGTATTAACTAGCTTAATGATAGCGTTTTTTTTCTTGGGCGAGAGCCAATCGGGAAGGTTTGTCATGTGCATACAACGCGCCGATGAGTGACCACTTCAGCCCACCGGTGTGTTGGGGAGTAATCCCGCAACACGTACAATTTGAGTTACGACGTTTCACGCAACGAACCTCACTAATTGGCCGCGTCGGGGTGGAGGTGGGCGTACGACACAATTACATTTACGCGATGTCACCCAAAAACAAATTTTATCATGCGTGATATTGATTGCGAAAGCCTACGTGTTAAATCGTATATAACTCCCGTCCACGAGCACTTTTACACACTGCTGCTTGTTGCTGGCCACTTCGCGGTTTTGGGCCTTCGGCCTGCTGCTCTCAACAACCGTGGACCGTTTCGTTACACGGCAAGGAAGGACTCACCGTGCCTCCAGCAGTTTGGGCTCCATGGGGTTGTACATGCAGCGAACAGCGTCATCCACCCTGCACCACAACAGCACCGCAACAACAAAAGGACAAAGTTCCCCCGTATAGCCTTGAACAGACTGTTGGGACAAGTGCTGTTAGTAAGGGGCGCCATGGTGGCGAGATGTCACCTCCCTTGCCTGGTACAGAGGAGGTTGTGGGTTCGATCCCAACCCTAACGCTTGTATATTTGGAGTTTGCATATCTCTCTCGCCGTGGTAGCGTGGATTTTTCTCCGAATCCTCTCGTTTTCCCCTTCAAATTTAGAAACATGTCCTTAGATTGTTTGGCTGCAATAAATGTCCATGATGATAAGCCACTTCGTTGAGCTATTATTTGTGGCGAGGTCGCTTCTGAAAAAGAGCTATATAGCTCAGTGGGCCTTACCTGGTAAAATTAAATTTTTTAGTTTAGTTACAGTTGCACACGAGGGGGTGGGGTGGCCAACAACATGCCCGGCCACCTTTGTCTCCCCAGTGGCGATGTTTACACACTGCATTAGGTACTCATTTGAGGCTGAGTCGACCTAGGAGAGGACCAGGACCGGTTCAGAAAATCGGACAGTGGTCTTGGTCGTGAGCGGGAATCGAACTCGGATCCTAGGGTTCGTAGCGCGGCACGCTAACCGCTGCACCACCACTCCCCACAGACACAACAACCACCAGCTGCTTGTCCAGTGCTCAGGAACACGAGGGTCAGGGGTCACGGTGGGGGAGGAATGGGGTCCGAGTGAGTGCTCGAGTGGTCAGGGGTTAGGAGGGGTCAGAGGTCAGACAGGAGGGGCTGGGAGTTATTATAAGGGGAGGGTGTAAAGGTGGTGGGTGGAGAGGGGAAGATGTTAGGAAGTTAAATGTATTAAAGTTTATTTGTTTAACTCGGCTTAGAGCTACTTAAACTATTAAAACGACACTTTTAACCTTTTTTAATCAGGGAAGGCCCACTGAGCTATGTAGTTCTTTTCAGAAGCCACAAATGATAGCTCAACAAAGTGGCTCATCATGTGGAAATTTATACAGTGAGGAAAAAAAGTATTTGATCCCCTGCTGATTTTGTACACTTGCCCACTGACAAAGAAATGGTCAGCCTATAATTTTAATGATAGGTTTATTTGAACAGTGAGAGACAGAATAACAACAACAAAAATCCAGAAAAACGCATGTAAAAAATGTTATAAATTGATTTTCATTTCGAGGTGGGAAATAAGTATTTGACCCCTCTGCAAAACATGACTTATACTTGGTGGCAAAAACCCTTGTTGGCAATCACAGAGGTCAGACGTTTCTTGTAGTTGGCCACCAGGTTTGCACACATCTCAGGAGGGATTTTGTCCCACTCCTCTTTGCAGATCTTCTCCAAGTCATTAAGGTTTCGAGGCTGACGTTTGGCAACTCGAACCTTCAGCTCCGTCCACAGATTTTCTATGGGATTAAGGTCTGGAGACTGGCTAGGCCATTCCAGGACCTTAATGTCCTTCTTCTTGAGCCACTCCTTTGTTGCCTTGGCCGTGTGTTTTGGGTCATTGTCATGCTGGAATACACATCCACGACCCATTTTTAATTCCCTGGCTGAGGGAAGGAGGTTCTCACCCAAGATTTGACGGCACATGGCCCTGTCCATCGTCCCTTTGATGCAGTGAAGTTGTCCTGTCCCCTTAGCAGAAAAACACCTCCAAAGCATAATGTTTCCACCTCCATGTTTGACGCTGGGGATGGTGTTCTTGGGGTCATAGGCAGCATTCCTCCTCCTCCAAACACGACGAGTTGAGTTGATGCCAAAGAGCTCCATTTTGGTCTCATCTGACCACAACACTTTCACCCAGTTGTCCTCTGAATCATTCAGATGTTCACTGGCAAACTTCAGACGGGCATGTATATGTGCTTTCTTGAGCAGGGGGGCCTTGTGGACGCTGCAGGATTTCAGTCCTTCTCGGCGTAGTGTGTTACCAATTGTTTTCTTGGTGACTGTGATCCCAGCTGCCTTGAGATCATTGACAAGATCCTCCCGTGTAGTTCTGGGCTAATTCCTCACCGTTCTCATGATCATTGCAACTCCACGAGGTGAGATCTTGCATGAAGCCCCAGGCCGAGGGAGATTGACAGTTCTATTGTGTTTCTTCCATTTGCGAATAAAAGCACCAACTGTTGTCACCTTCTCACCAAGCTGCTTGGCAATGGTCTTGTAGCCCATTCCAGCCTTGTGTAGGTCTACAATCTTGTCCCTGACATCCTTGGAGAACTCTTTGGTCTTGGCCATGGTGGAGAGTTTGGAATCTGATTGATTGATTGCTTCTGTGGACAGGTGTTTTTTATACAGGTAACAAACTGAGATTAGGAGCACTCCCTTTAAGAGTGTTCTACTAATCTCAGCTCATTACCTGTATAAAAGACACCTGGGAGCCAGAAATCTTTCTGATTGAGAGGGGGTCAAATACTTCTTTCCCTCATTAAAATGCAAATCAATTTATAACATTTTTGACATGCGTTTTTCTGGATTTTCTTGTTGTTATTCTGTCTCTCACTGTTCAAATAAACCTACCATTAAAATTATAGACTGATAATTTCTTTGTCAGTGGGCAAACGTACAAAATCAGCAGGGGATCAAATAATTTTTTCCCTCACTGTAGCAGCCAAATCATCTCACCGCACGTTGATTCTAAATGTCGAGGGAAAAACCGGAGGACCCGGAGTAATATCCACGCGGCCACGGGGAGAGAGACAGGCAAACACCAGGGTCGGGATCGAACCCACGCTTTCTTGGATACCAGGTGAGGTAGTTCACGGCTACAGAGGCCAGGATAGTGGCATGGGTGACCACAGTGACACAAACATAGACACCAAATACAGCAATGAAGCGAATAGAAACCAGGTGGGTGGGGGGGGGGCTAGGGGGTGAGTGCTGTGTTGGGGTGGTGAGCGTTGGGTGGGTTAGGTGGGGGGGGGGGGGGGGACTGGGGTGGGGGTCTTGCGAACCGGGGGCCGATGCGCTTCGCCACGGTGATGATGTCACTGAGGCTCTTGGACGATTTCACCTTCAGCCCCGAGCCCATCGTCATGGCGACGAGCTTCTCCGTCAGCGTGTGGCACGTCTGGCGGGGGGGGGGGGGCAACGGGGGATGGAGGGAGGGCGGGGGGGGGGGCGAGTGAGCGTGGCACACACACGGGAGAGTGAGTCAATAGGTAGCGCAATGAGATGTGGGTAATTTGGGAGGGGATTGCGCGTTAGCGAGTGACACACGTGTGTGTCATCATCAGGATGACGACACACACGTGTGTGTCATCATCAGGATGACGACACACGTGTTGTGCTGCGATCGAATCGTCGCGGTTTTTATTTTCATTATTTTTAGTCACTTCATTGTAATTTCTCCATCGACGTGACTTTGCCGAAAGAACGAAAGAACGCAAAAGAGAATGAGTGAGTTGTGGGAGTGAGTGGGGAGCGGTGGCGCAGCGGTTAGCGCGCTGCGCCACGGACCCGGCAACTCGAGTTCAATTCCCGCTCACTGACAACAGCAGTGACAGCGTTCATCTGAACGGGTTCTGCACCTTCCCGAGATCGACTCAGCCTCAAATGAGTACCTGGAGCAGTGTGTAAATATTGCTATTTGGGAGATAAAGACGGCCGGGCGAGGTGCTAGCCACCAACCCCTATACGGGGGGGATCTTTGTCTTTGTTTGTGCGAGGTTGAGCGATTGAACGAGTCGGCGAGTGAGTGAGATGTTGTGTGTGTGTGTGGAAATGGGTGAGGTGTGTGTGTGAGGATTAAATTGAGGGAGGAGTGAGATATGTTAGTGAGCGAGAGTGAGGTGTGTGTGTGTGTGACCAGGAAAGTTCCGTGAGATGTTTATGAGTTGAGTTTATTAAGTTTGTGAATTCGCGAGTGCAATGTGGATGCATAGGTGGGTTGGTGAGTGAGTGAGCGAGGTTTGCGTGCTCACGAGTGACATTGTGAACAAAAGAGAACGAGTGAAATGTGTAAGTAAGTTGAATGAGCGAGGAGTAGGATGCGATTCGCGCGAGTAGGTTTGATGAGTGAGGGCTCAGTGAGTGAGGCTGTATGTGCGCATGAGATCTGGACACATTCCCATCAGTGAGCTCCTCCGGCAGGCAAGGCAGCCACCGCATGCCCAAGCAGCTTCTGTTTGGCCGGATAGAGGGGGCTAAATGGGCACGACACCGTCTGGAGAAGAGATGGACTGATGCGGTACAGGAGGATGTGGAGCTGAGTGGACTTGCCGTTGACCGGTACCAGCGGCATTAAGATTGGCTTCTATGGAGGAGGCTCGTGAAAGACGCTGCAGGGCAGTTGGAGGCAGTCGATCTCCAACAACAACAACGGAGAGCAGAGGAGCGACACTCACAACAATGAGCAGATCGCCGGGCGGCTAAAATGCAGGAACTTGGCACAGTCGGGGGCACCTATCAGTCATTTCAGTCAGTAAACCCATGGCACCTCGGTCTGTCCCATGACCTCCTGTCACCGAGACTTTGACGCTCCACGTGGCCTCAAAGTGCACCTGGCCTGGCACAGGCGCCGCGGTGATGTCACTGCCACTTAGTGTCGAATGTCGGCTGTTGTCATTGTTATTGTGCATGAGTGATTGAGTTTATGAGTTTGTGAGCGAGACGTGTGAGTGAGTGAGAATACGATAGAGAGAGCGGCTGAGTGTGAATGAGGAATGGCTCTCTGTTATGGGATGTCCGTGCAAAACGCTGCTACGATGCAGGCCCTCGCAACCAATTGAGAGTAAATCGTCAAATTCCATCCTGCTCTCCCTGAGCTACGCAGTGAGCCGTGCACGATCCACCAACCTTCAGGATCTCGATGCAGTGTGGAATCAGTCCCCTGGAAGGGAATAAACAAACACAAATCGGGTTTAGAATGCACGAAGGGCTCCTGATAATGAACACCGCAAACATCTGCTGGAACGGCGCGGCCGGGCGGCACCGGTGGTGGCTACGCTGCTGCACGCGGCTGCCTGCGACCGAGCGCTGTGCAGGCAGCAGCAGCGAGGGTTGGTGGATTCGCGGTTGAACACCTGGCCTGCAACAGGCGCCGTGCTATGAACACCACAGAGATGCTGCGGAACTCCGTGCCATCCCGTGGGCGTCGAGGAGGTGCCGTGCCCCCCGGCTCGCCAGCAGAAAGCGGTTCGGCAAAGCGCGGAATGACGTCGTCCGTACCCTTCTGTATGAGATAGAGCATTGGGCCCTCGCGTGCACGGGCATTCTACGGGTGCTCCGGTTTCTTCCCACGTGTATGATAACCACTCATTGCCTGAAAACATCTTGGCATATAGAGGACCACAGAACAATCGTTGGTAGCGCCGGCTCACCGCCTGGCAGCCTTCCAGCTCGTGTCTCTGGTTCCTATCCAGCGATTGTATGAAGAACGTTGTATCGAACTAAACATTAAATTGATTGTTGTTATTATCATGATCTGTCAATCTCCACAGTGTTGTTCCATGCTGTGCGTTTCTGTGCGACGCGACCCGCCAAATGTATCATAATTTAACATTCAAATACAAACTGCACATGCCTGATGATTGCTAAACAATAGCCCCATGTAAAGCGGAGAGTGCCTATTTAAATGCAAAGCACTGTTTCGCATAGCATAGGGCGCACGTGTACACACACACACAGAAAAAGTCCGCACCTTCGTTTCAATCGGGCGCTCTCTAACTAAGGTGGGACATAGACCGCTGGGGACAATGCCATTAGCGAGCACCTATTGAGGTCAGCGGAGCGCATTAAGGGACGGCGATTTCGCTTTGAAATCCGAGCGTCGCAAAATTAAACATCCGAACGGAAGTCGCCACGGTGAATAACGAAGCAGCGATGGGCACTGGGGGGCATGGGCGGTGGTAAAACAATGAAGGGAAGGGATTGAATTTACGTAGAGGGCCCTCCAAGATCTACATGAGCCGGGGGGCAACCCTTCAAACTTGAATGGCCCCTGCATACTGAGGGCGGGGGGGGGGGGTGGCGGCCGTGACTCACGAGGCGTCCTCGATCCAGGCCACGTCCTCCAGGAAGGACTCGATGTTGGGGTTGGTGATGACGACGCCCTCCAGCTCCAGCTCGGAGGGGTTGCTCTGCGTCTCCATGGCGTCGATCAGGTCAAGGGTCGGCCTGCGGGAGCCAAGCACGAGCCGTCAGTTCCTACTCCTTCTCACCTCTCACGACCCCATCACCGCGCCTCACGAGTCCGTGACGGAGTAGCTGACAAGATGTCGCGTGGCCCGCTGGAACACGCGCGCGCGCGCGCGCGCGTGCCCGTTTCACCACGTGGCCCACCAGGAAAAGCAGTGGAATGACCGTGTCCATCCCAGGGGCCCCACAGGGCAGCCCACGGGGGGCCATGGGGGACCCACGAGGCGGCCCTCACCGCGAGTCGCGCTCCGTGAGGATGTGGTCGGCGCGGCAGTAGCGGTGGCGGCAGAGCAGCACGAGGGCCCCGAGCGACGAGAGAAACACGAGGGCCAGCACGCTGATGGCGATCACCACCACCGTTTCCATCGCGCCGCGTGCCCACCACCACCCCCAGCTCGTCGACCCGTATGGGGGGCGGGGGAGGGGGCACAGCCCCCGCCTCCTACGCATCGTACAAACAAAACACAAAAGTCAAGACGAGGCGGAACATTTGGTTCAGTTTTACTTACAAAGAAAAAAAAATTAAGATGGAAATAATTGAGAGGCGCTTAGTGGAGATACCCTCTGTCATGGGGGTTTGTTTGACCATACTTCACCGTGCTTATGCAAATGTTACCTGCAGTCGGATCATATTATAATCGACGGGGGTTGAGACAGACCCGTCGACTACTCAATTCATTGGTTGCCGATACAGTTACGCTCACAGCACTTGTGTGTAAGAATACCTGACTATTCACATGTTCTCTTTATGCTAACGGTCCGAGCGAGAGAGCATGCACTGCAGGTGTATCGTCAAATGTGCAGGCCTTTGTCTAGCCACTGCTGGATGAAGGCCCGCCGTCACGCCGTGGAGGTGGTGCAAAGAGTTTGTTTGACCATATTTCGCCACGCAGGTCACTGCCGGTTGGTGTAGTGCAGAGCCACAACCGGTTCAGGTCTCATTCGCTATCGATGATAGCCGTGGCTGGGACTTGGAATTCAGGTCACCGGGATCATAGTGCAAAGTGCTAACCGTTGTGCCACCACTCCCCCCTGCCCCCAGTTTTATCCGACTTAGAGGAACAATATAATACTTGTACAGCATTGTCTTGAGCTAGAGACGATTCAACAACCAGAAAAAACAACACATGCAGGCTTGACACGAATTACATGAAATATGTAAACGGGTGTCTAAACAACAAAATACAGCAGGAATCCCAGCATGCCTTGCATGTCGAGATGACATCACTTCGCATATCAATGAGATGTATGGACATGCGACATCCTCCGCTAATAAATAGAGAGAGAGGGTGGGTGGGTGGGTGGACACCTGCCAGTAACATCTGGTAAGAGAGGGGGGATTGGGAGGACGTGGTGAAGAGGGTAAGGCCACTACATTTCTTGGGAGGCTCAACGGGGACGCATGGCGAACTGGTTAGCTCCCCTCCCATCAACCACACCCACTTTGACACGGCCACGCCCATTCAACCACTAGACCCATCCACGCAATGAGTGGCTTCCCATGCCCCACTGGCTATATACCCAGGCTTCTCGACTGCCAGCCATGCCCATTACTCGGGCAGCCTGACTTTGTGCCGGTACGAGGTCAGAAAATGCTTAACCCGAACAAAATTCCAAGTTTTACAAAATCCTCGGGACACCGGGGCAGTCTTTATAAAACCCAGTGAGCCTCTTTCAGCCAACGTGGGCGTTGAGACAGGGAGTGGAGGGGGGAGGAAGTGAGGGGGGTGCGCGGTGGAGGAAGGGACGGAGAGAGGATGCGGGGGAGAGGCAGAGGGAGGCAGCCCCGGGGTGTTTACGATGCAGGACGAGCGGTGAGAGACACGCGGCGGCTATGACCGCATGGAACGGCGCCGCTCAGCCCCGCTGTCCGCTGGACGGATCGCAGCACCCAGCCAGACAATCCGCCTCCTCCATCCTCGTCACCGCAAAAAGGCACGCTGAATCAAAGACTGCAGCGCAAGCCGAGGAGGAGCGAGAGAGGTTCCCAGAAAAAAAAAAAAGCGGGCACGAGTTTCCTTTATCAGTGGTGCAGTGAGGATGGCATGGGCCCTTCCTCGTGCAAGAAGTGAAATGACACCCACGTGTTCAAGTTTTCTTCATAGCCCGGCACCTGCATCATCATCATCATATCACGAAACCTGGGCCCCTCTGACCCGTGGGCTCCCTGTGCGGTCGCACCGCCTGCACACTCGGTAGCTACGCCGCTGTCCATTCCCTGCTTCTGGAGGAGCTTGGTGGGCAGGCCTCCGTCCAGCGGGGACGAGATCAAAAGGTGACGATGGAGATGATGGACTGGCAGTGGGCGTTCCCGTCAAGTGGAAGTCGAGCCACGCCTCGCGGTCACTGCTGAGTGCTAGAAGGGAAGCGTCGTTCGTGACAAGAGCGAAATTCCGCGCATTCAAAAAAGATCGGCCAGGATCGAGAGTTGGAGTGAAAAAAAAGACGAACCACCTCGAAGGTCACTGCGCCACGCGGTGCCTCCTATTGCTGCCACGTGTTGCATGCGATGCAAAAGGATGACATCAGCGCCGCCTGTCTTGTCCCCCCCCCCCCCCGTCTTGTCCGAGTCGTTGACCTGGGCGCAACGTTGGTAGTACGTGACCATTATATGCTTACTCGGAAGGAGCTCATCAAAGATCCGACGCGATCGCGAGCGACCTTCTGGCTGCACAGAGGTAAGGCCCACTGAGCTGTATCGCTGTTTTTCAGAAGCGGCCTGACCTCAAATGATAACTCAATGAAGTGTCTTATCACGTCGAAATTTATAGCAGCCAAATACTCAACGCGCATATTTCGGGGAAAAAAACTGCAGGACCTGGAGAAAAATCCATGCAACCACGGGGAGAGAGAGAGAGAAATACGCAAACTCCAAAAATACAGCGGGCGACAGGCTTGGGATCGAACCTCCAACCTCCTGTATACTAGTCGAGGTAGTTTACATTTCGCCACCGCGGTGCATTCGAACAGCACACGGCACGAGCGGCCAATGTCTCCTTCACAGTCGGACAATATTAGGATGCCACTGGAGCTATCCATTTTTAAATCGAGATTTCAAACCCATTTCTTTAGAACTGCTTTTTGTTGGCCTTCCCCCGGCACCTCCGATTATATTGATCACAGTTGGCTGCGTATCGTGCGAAAGAAGTTCAACATACATACAGAATGGAAGGGTCGCCCTGTTTGGGTTGGCGAGGTGCAATGTGCCCATCACATGAGCGACCACCGCTCATGACACGCTCACGCAGAAGCCACGGACGCCATACACCAGCCAACTCGTGATGCAGTCAAACCGATTGCTAATCTCAACACCCAGCTGTAATGTTTTGCCAGTCGCTCTGCAAAATGCTGCATGGAAGAGAGAGAGAGCGAGAGAGATTTGACCTCAAGTGCATCAGAATCACGGTGACATGGTTTGCCATCACGTGGAAATTCTTCTCAACAAGGATAAAGACTGCAACTGCCCCTGGCGAGAGACGTAGCGTTGGCCAGGGCTTGAGCCGCTTACACAAGCACGGAGAGAAGAATGTTTTCGACCACCAATAATCGTGGCATTGTGCCGCAGGGTTTGGACGGCAAAGAGGATTAGGGGGCTGCGGTGAGCGAGGCTCTCTCTGCGGTACGGCCTGCGGGGGTCTCTCCCCAATCTCCAGTCCTCATGACCCACCCACAACGTCTCCGCCAGCCTTCTCCATCCCAAAACTAAGTAGAGTTCCACGCTGCACGCGCCCGATGATTGCTCAACTTTGTCTCGTGTCGACGAAGGGTCAAACCGCGGGCGGCTGGCGGCTGGCGCGCCGATGCCTGAGAATCGAAATCTCCTCGGGCGGTTGGGCGGCCGCGGTGGCGAGATGTTAACCGCCTTGCCTGGTGTACGGGAGGTCGTGGGTTCGATCCTAACTCTGACGTCAGAAAATTGTGAGTTTGCTTGTCTCACTCCCCGTGGCCACGTGGGTTTTTCTTCGGGCCCTCCAGTTTTTCCCTCCATATGTAGAGACACTCGTTCAGAGCATGTGGCTGCTATAAATTTCCACGTGATAAGCCACTTGGTTGAGCTATCATTTGTGGCCAGGTGGCTTCTGAAAAAGAGCTGCATATAGCTCAGTGGGCCTTGCCTGGTAAAATAATGAAAAGAAAATAGTAGTTAGTATCTGTCACTGCCACCATCTTAGCAGCAGTAATCGGGTACTAGAGGGGAATATATGTGACCTAGAAAAGAACGGTGTTCGAAAGTTTATCACGATCAGTCCACTTGCGTTTGGTTCCCGGCCACGGCTAACATCAGCGGCGAGTGACATCAGAACCGATCCTGCTCTCTCCCTCTGCACCTTCACCAACCCGCACGTCCACCGTGGTGTGGTATGGTCAAACGAGCGCGCATGACTGACGAGAAAGCCTTCATCCAGCAGCGGCTGTAAATGAGTAAATTATACGACTGTTACAAATAATCTATGCCTCGTGTATCCTGGCTGGCTGCTGGCTGGGCACCTCTCCACCACCCCAACAGTAACTCTATTAAAGAATAAAAATAGGTTTTACCCTATCTGGCAATAAAATATGTATTAATATGTAATTTTTTAATGCTTTGATTCAGGCAAAAATGTCCGATGGATAGTAACTCTATTGGTAAAGGCTGCTGTGGTAGTTGCCACCGAAACTATCGAGGTAACTGGCTTACACGGGATTTTTTCCACGTAGCAAATACACGTTCGGCAGCATAAGTTCGAATGGCAAAACCGAAGAGGCGGGAGTTATGAATACCAAAGATTGACCACGGTTCATTTAAAATCGCTCTTACTTAACAATTTGTGCCCCTATGTTAATGCCATTATTTCGCGAGAATTACTCCATCAATCCGACGAAATATTTACAAAATAGCTCACAACACATACTATATTGGCATTTTATTATTACATTACATAACAGAAAGGGTAACGCCTATTCTTATTTTTCATACTTTGATACTGGTAAAAAATAGGTCCCATAGATGTAACTGCTCAACGCGACCTGTACATGCTCTGATACAGTCGTGCATTGCCTTTGTGCTATTCACCTGTTGGCGTTCTCTGGTCTGACACTGGTGAGACAAGGCCGTCGACGCTGTTACAAAGGCTGTCGCTGGTGTAGGCCAATCACTTTCAAAGAAAATGCAGACATTATCAGGGCATATTTATTCGCATGTTTTGCCACAAGTACGTGGGGTTCATTGCCACAAATGGTCAAACCGATTCTTATTTCTCACACTTTTGATCCTGGCAAAAAAGGTCCCATCGTCTCTAATGTTCCATTGCAAATCAACAATGGCTTCCCTCTCTACGCGAGGCATACAAAAACGCACTGCAGGACTTGGGGGGGGGGGTGGGGGGGAAGGCGCCCTGATGCTGCTGCTGCTGCCGCCCCCACACTCAGTTGGAGCTGTCACAGGGCGTCAGGCTGAGCTTC